GGACCGAGAATGCTGTAGAACATAAATCCAGCTGTCTTCAGGAGCACTCTGTCATGAAGGCTGTTTGTTGCCTATCCTACGTCTATTTTCCTCTGCTTCCTGTGTCGTCAACAACTCCTGTGTTGTCAGAGGCAGCAATGTACCTAGTTAAGAAACTGCATTCCCCAGGCTGCTTTACAGATACAGTGGCCAATAAAAGAGGCAGAAAGAGTTACTTGGGGGTTCTAGGAAAGCTGTTGAAAGGAGACTGACGATGCTTAGCTTTCTGTGACCCACTTTACTCTTTCCTCCTGTGTGGAATGCAGAGGTGATGGCTGGAGCTCCAGCAGCATTATTAAAACCATAAGACAATTTTAAGGAAGGAAGCCACTGCTAAGGGATGCAGAGAAGAGAGATGAAGGAACTGGCTGCCCATTGACCTTTGCCCTGGACAGCCTGCTTCCAATCTTTTTCCGTCTGAGAGAAAGTAAGCCTGGTGGTTGCTGGAGGACTGCTATTTTGTAAAGTTTTCCCTTCTATCTGCCTAAATTGATAGAAACCCAGGCATTCCTCACACTCTACAAATGATTTGTCCAGGGAAAACAGCTAAAATGATACATTTATGCCTTTGCTAAAAATTCCAGTATTTTAAGTATGATACAGTTTTGAAAGGGCAGCATACAGGGAAAGGCTAAAAGCCTCCTTGGCAGAAAACCTTCCTTGCAAGGTAATAGATCCTAAAAACAAAGGATAAGCAGGAAAACCGCAATGGATAAGATTTGCTACCACCATTAGCTTTTTTCTAGTATAGAAAATGCAAGAAAACTGGGTGTTTCTCTCTCTCTCTCTCTTTTTAATCAGAGGAATCATCTGAGACCAAACAAGCCTCCCCACCACTCCTCCTTCCTGTGGGCCCAACTTCCTTCTGATCCACTGCTGGCTTCCCCTCGCCTGAGCTCTGCGGTCTAACCAGAGCCCTCCAGACGTTGGGAGGTGCCCAAGGTCTGTCCCCCCAGCACTGGGCCAAACCCACGACTGCCCTGCTGCAGCACTGGGAACAGAGATGGTCCTCTGGGCTTGGGGACAGGTAGCAGCTGCAGAACAAAAGTGCCCACCAAGTGGCACCATTTGTAATGGAACAACACGACCCAGCCATGCTCAGCGTGCAAAGCCTCGACTTCCAGAAAGGCCATGTATAAAGCTCCCGAGGCCTTATGTCGGCAGAGCGGTTATCAGAGAAGGCTGACTGGACAAAGGGACTCAGGTGGCCCTTCTCGTGGACCCCTGCAGGAAGCGTGTGAAAATTCGGCTTCTGGGGCACTGCACGATCTTGGATATCTTCAGAATTGGCAAGGAAAGGTTATGTTCTGTTCGGTCTCGTTTTAGTTTTAAGTGTATCTTACTTAATATTTTCAATATGAGTCAGCTCCATGTACTGGGCTGATTCTCAAACAGCTAGAAGGGGACTGGAACAGCCTTTAGACAGGAAGCCTGGGTACAGCGTCCAGCTGCTTCCACCCTGGGAGCAGGTCTGAGGCCAGCAGTCCTGGATTCTCGGGACGGGGGCCCCAATCTGCTGGATTACAGACAGCACCCTTGGGAGCCCTGGCTTTTCCTGACTCTCCTCTCCTGATGGAGGTAAAGGCGCCCTCCTCAGAACAGCTGCCCTGCCTGATTCACCTGTCCAGGATGCGCGCACCTTGAATAAGTCGAGCAACCGGCTGTCGTTCCTATCTTACAGCGTGGGTATGTGTGTGCTTCGCGGGCAGGGGGTTAAAGGAAATGCACAGAAAGTTACTACCATGTGGTTGGGCTGAAGGCAAGGGGAGCTGTCCTCACTGTGATGATGCTGATGTTAGAGACGATGGCCATGAGGACGGCGACATCTAGTACCCTGGGTTTTCCTGAATAGAACCATGAAGCATTTCCCATTTACCTAATCAATAGATGTCCTGCAAACGCAGAACATGACACAGATGGGAACTCGCTACAGGAGCACGAGAACCCATTTTTTGTGGGGGCCCAGGCTGGGACAGAAAGGTGTCCGGGTGTATGTCTGAGTCAGTAACTGTGTGCTTAACAACTGTAACCCGTGTGCTCATTGTCACTGATCTTAACAAGGACCCAAGAAGCTGGTACTCTTATCAATTCCATTTTACAATGAGGAAGGTAGGACACCAAGAAGATTAGTAACTTGCCCGATATGGGGGGTGAGCTCTGCATATGGCAACCGGTGGTGGCACATCAGTCAGGTACCACAAAAAACCTCTTGGCAGGAGGTAATGAAAGCCCGAGTGGGGATGCTGATGAATGGTGTGGAGGGGGAGACAGGGCCCACAAGCGACAGGCCGGTCTGGAAGCTAAGGGCACCATGACAATAGGGCACTGGGCCATTTCCGAGTGTCATCAAACTGTCAGCATTTTCTTCTTGCTGCAGGTGTCCTTTTAAAATATCTGCTCAGTTTCTCTTGTAGATTGTTTCCCTTTTTACTCCCTGCCTGCGTCCTCACTTAGAATCAGCATCTTTTGGTAGCTGGAAAATATGACAGAGCAGCAAATCATATTAATGAATGCTCTATTTTCAGACCTGCCCAGAGCCTTATTTCTGGCCTTTTTAAGTGACTCTCCTGATTATAAAAGTGATCATATCAGTTTGCCACAGACTTATTTCTCATGGGTAAGCGGTAAATTGACTTCCAGCGTTCATACAACTGCCCGAATTCTACATGAAAGAATACAATCAACGTCTAGGATAAAATCAACCGCCTCAAAACTACTTCCCAATGGCGCTTATCCAGGGGGATTTGGAGACTCGGACCTAGTGATGAACACATGTTGACACCTGGAATGTTCTCTGAAATGGGGACAAGAGAGAATGCTCATGTGCCCAAGCCACTGAGGCACTGCCTAGGGCATTTTGCCTTTTGGGGCTCTTCTCTCCAGGAAGATGGCATTTCTCCGAGCACTTACAAAGATCACTCACCAAGAGAGACAGACTGGGCTGGGCTCCCACCTCAAGAAACCCTTGTCATCTCCCTTGCTGAGGTGCCGAGTGGATCCCAAATCTCAGCCTTGGAACACCCACTGATTACACTGAAATCACAAGATCTTGCTTGGGAAAGTCATGCCACTAACTCAGGGGCCGCAAGCCCAGATGCCTTCAGAGTCAAGGTAAGAAGGGAAGTGGATAGAGGTAACATCGAAGGGCTCTCTTCTATATTCAGACCCTGTTGGAAGTCTGGAAGCTGATGCTAAGTCTCTGAGCTTCCCCAGTGGCCCTCCGAGGCAGGCAGCAACCACAGTCTGGAAGCCCAAGGCTACCAGAGCCTTGCAACATTAGGGTTCAATAGAGCCCATGATCCAAAGAATAGGTGACCCATAGTCATCTGAATACCAAAAAAAAAAAAAAAAGCAAAACAACAACAACAAAAACCCCAAAAAAACCCAAACAGCCACTGATCCTGGGCAGGCCAACAGAATCTGAGGGGGTTGGACATGGATTCAAACAGGACTGCATTCGTTTTTTGAGCCTCCTGCCTGCAACTCCAGCTTTTTTTTTTTTTTAATTTCTTAACATTCTTCTCAGTTTATAAGAAGAGTCAGGTTCAAGGGAAGATTTCTTCCTTGGAATCCTGCTCTCTGATGTTAAGGTGATACCCCCACCCCACCCCACACCGCCCCAAACCCTTCCCTGCTGCGTCATGGGCACAGAAGGCCAGCTTCAAAGCTCAAGCTATCACGTCTCCCTGCTCCCACTCCATCCTTTAGCAGGTGTGACGACATGGGGACATGGGATGCAGCCCTAACCCTGGGCCATCCCAGCCCTTCATAAACTCTGGATTTGTAACTTAACAAATTAGAGACTCAGCCAGGTCTGTCAAGGCCGACCCTAAAAAATCAACATCAGCTGAAGGGGAGGGTCCTGGCAGAGGAACCCCTTAGCAAAGCTAAGTCCCCCACAAGAGCTGGGACTGAAGCCAGGAGGGGGTCGCCGCACAAGGGAGGCACCCAGAGTTGATTTTAACCAAAGACCAAACAGCCAGATCGTCCTGGAGGGGCCGGCCAGCCACCGTGCTGGGCTCGGGGACAGATCACTTGCTCTCTTAGAGCTGCTCCAATTTTAGAAATTGGGTGCTGACTCATTATTAACCCAGAAAGCCCACACACTCAAATGACTCTACTGAAAAAGCTCCCTGTCATACCCTGCTTACTGGTGTGCAGTTTTTTAAGCAAATTCAAAAAATGTTTATCACAAGGTATTTATGACATTTTAACCGTTTCATTTACAGTAACTAGAATGACATTTAAAAAAAAATGTTTCCTGTATTTTACTTGACTGTAAAGCTAAGCCTCATCAGAATAGTAACAGGTTGAGAAACACATTATCAAGGTCATATCAGGCCTCAAGGACTCAACAACCCAATCATCACCTCCCCTGCTGGCCCCAAGCCCCCGGACCCCCGCATATTTTCTTTCTGACTTTATCACGGTTTGTGACATTGAATCACAAGCAAAAAGAAAAGACATAAAATAAGTTCCCAGAATCATTCATAGGCTCATAGAGAAGGAAGCCCAAATGCTGCCTCTCTACTGTATTTTCTTGCACTAAAAACCGGGCAGCTCAGACCACGCGGCCAGAAATTTCGCAGGGGCTGTCTTCCCTCCACCTCTGAGAAGCGGAAGCCGGCCCAACCTCAGCACCCCTGGGTTAGCACCCACTCACCCACCTCCATCTCTGAATTTCTCCATGGCTCCAGAGACGAGACTGGAACAGTTTATTTTCCAGCCCAGCACCCCTGTCTCTCCTGGGATAACACAGTGTACGACGAGTATCAACCTTCTCCCCATTAACCGCGGAGACAAGCACCCTACAACACAATGGTTCTGGGGGTGGGGGCAGAGATTAGGGGTGCTCCAAGTCTCGAATGCGGTATCCCCTCCAAGATGCAACAGCTTTAACCCATCCGAGACTCAGGGGCAGACGCTAGAAATGATCATAAAAATGAGAGACACGGACTCACCGGGGAGAAGCGGCTGGCTCCACCTTCCCGCCACCCGAGCTGCGGAGGACTGAGGCTCACGCTGGCTCAGCCACAGCCCGCCTGGAATGCCAGCCCTCCGCCCGAGCAGCCGGCTGTCATGACTTCCCTCCATTCCCCATCACGTCCGCACGGCTGAGACCAAGAAAAAAGAAAGAAAGAAAGAAATTAAGAGAGGGGAAAAAAGAAAGAAAGAAAAGAAAGAAAAAAGAGGGAAAAAGAAGAAGAAGAAGAAGAAAAAGAAAAAGAAAAAAAAAGGGCGCACACCTCAGTCTCCGTTCTCATTGGAACGAGATGACTCATGCTGACTCACAGCCACCACTTCCTCTCCGACATTCTCTTCATACTTGTGAGCTGGGCTGGTCCCGTTCCCAGGGTCTCTGCAGCCCTTCCTGGAAGAACAGCCTTCTGACCCTGGCAAAGCCACCCCAGCACTGACCTCATGTGGAGCCCCCGGGAGCGCCTACACAGGGGAAATGCTTTATTTAGGAGACATGAGCCACAGGACAATAAAATGCACGAATCCCATGTGCATTTGAATTTCAAATACACACTGCAATTCTGTAATATCTTGCAAAGCTCCTATGAACCACTCGCTCGTTTCAAGGTATTACAGGCAAGGGAAGAGAATGGAACAAGGTCTCATTCTTCAAGGACGTCGGGTCTACTCTTGCCCTAGCGAGATTGATTGCAGAGCATGTCTTCTGCATGCTTTCCTCTGACATAACAAATCATGGGATCTAAAATCCGGATCTCTTCAAAGCTGTTTGTGAGGAGGGCGTGGGCTTTGCTTCGGGGATTCAGTGACTTCCAAAATCTTTTCCATCCATCTTTCAGACTTCAAAAATTCGCAAGAAATGAACATTAAAATCCCAAGAAATGCAAGGAAGGTGTAACACTGGAACTTTTAAAGACTGTTTATGAATGTTAACAGGCAAGGATAGAGGGTAGCCTGTGCCTCCCGGTTTTTTCTGGAATGATACCGTGGGTGGGGCAGCCTTCCCCAGCTTCCTGCATTTTTAAATTATGAGAGGCTATGGAGGAGAGCAGGATCCACGTGGCGCTCAGCCGCCTCCCAAGAAGCCCAGAAGGGCAGCTGTGATTGCATTAGGATGACCGTGCTTTCTGGAAGGTCTCACACCAAGGCCACTCGTGAACACTGATGCTCTTGAGACACGTTTTGATTTAGTGCCTACTGCTGTGTAGGCCACACTCCAACACCCCTAACGGACACCGAGAAAATAAGGAAACAATATTTTTTGGAGGCCAGAAGACTATGGCAAGGCGTATCTGTGTCCAGTGGACCTCACCCCGCGGGGGTCAGAAGACTGAGTTTCCATTTACAGCAAGATTCATCTTAGGTGTAAATTGTTCAGTATTCTATGAGGTTCTTTTAACAGGAGAATCAGGGTGTTTTCTATCAGGCCCCAGGGCTTTGACTTCCCTACGAAAACTGCAGTGCGCCAACTGGCCAAATGGTCTCATTTCTGGAAGTTTTTTTTTCCTCCCAGGAGAGAGGAAAGCCTGTTGGTTGTCTGGAATTTAGCGCTAGCTTTGTTGTGCCATTCGCTGCAGTATTTTCTCTGGGGAGAACGGGGAATAGAGATGGGGTCAGCAGCCTCATGAACAGCCTGAAGATGGGGCTTCAGCAAGGTCTTAGGTCATCCCCAAGGGACATCTCTTAACTGGTGGTGGCCCAGTAGAAACGGGAGGCCTCACAGAAGCCAGGAGTCTGCAAAGACTCTTGAAGCAGGGGTTCTAGGTTGTGATTTTTGTCCTATATGTAGAAAGCCAAACTTTATTTTATTTATGAAGACTTGTATTAAGTCAACTCATTAATCCCTGGGAGGGAATTAAAAAAAAATCAATTAAAAAAATCACTGAATGTGAAATAGTTGGGCAATGTAGGTTCCAAGTGGTGGCCACACCCTCCCGCTGGGAGGGCCCTGCCAGAGACCTCATCATTTTAGCAGTGGGATCTTCCACAGCAACGCTGCTATAATGAGCCTTCTGGAATATTCTAGGGCAAGACTTCAGATATGAAGCTGGGTGTCCTCCCATGGCAGCAATATGAACCATCGCTGGGGAAGGTCGCTGGTATTGTGTCCTCCCTATATAGTGCAGCACTGCATAATCCTATGAATGCTATGTCTTAATTCCTGACTGAACATTACCTAGAGCTCTTCTCATTTGGGCTGGGAAGGAGAAGGGGAACCCATTCCCAGTATAGTCAATAAAATATTCATTGAGGCATATCAGTAGCACCGATTCCCATAATTATTAATATGGAATGTTCTCTAGTGGATTCTCTTTCAACTGGCCAATTTCTGCATATTCCACCAGAAAGGAAACAAAGGTGACACTCGGAACATGGCTACATGGAAACACTTTTTTAAACATCCACATGTTCTTTCACCAATGAAAATAGCATTGTAAAAATTTAGGTTTCATTGAATTAGCCAAATAATCAAGTTTCACTCCTGAAGAGTACACAGCGAGGACAGTGCCTTCTAGCATGTCATAGGATTCTTATAAGTATCAATGGCTCACAGTGAAGAGTACTTATTAGATGCCGGTCATTCTCCTAAACATGCACAGGTATTCCAACCTCTGGTCCTCAAAAGATCCCTCTGAGTAAGGTCACCCCCCGCTTTCTAGCAAAGAAACTGAGGCACAGAAAGGGCCAGGAGCCTGCCCAAGATTGCAGGGCCCAGATGTGTACCCAGGCCACCTGGTGTTGGAGCCCACTCCTAACCACCAGGCCACGTGAATTCCCACAGAGAACTTTTAAAAGAATCTTTGCACACACATCCCCTGACATCACAGCATATTCCCCCCAATTCTGCAGGTGCATGTAAGGGAAATGTTTTTTCTATTCATGTGAGAGGTAAATCAAAATCCTAGCCTTGGAGTGACCTATCCTTTACAACAGTAAGAATTCTCACGAATGGAGAGAGCCGGTTAGAATTACCCACCCACACATCCTAAGTACATTCCACTGATGTCTACAAAGACAGCACTCCTCCCAGCCAGGGACATGAGGACATTAGAGAATGTCCCTTGTGGTCCTTTTGTCACTTAACAAACAGGTTTCCCCACCCCCCTCTTCCCTGGGAGAGGATTCATCTCTTACTGCAAATCCAGCAACGCCCCCCAATTCCATTCTCACTTCTTTCCTAGGATTTTGTTCCTAATCAAATATAGGCTTTTTCCCTCCAACATCCTTTACCTTCTCCTGTTTGTGGGCCTCAACATAGGCTCCAGTCAATTCCATCTCCCAAATACCTCCCCTGCCTTTGACCTCTTAGAACAGACCCATGGTTGCCTGCCGTATATCCTATCCCTCCCCCGTTAGTCACAGCCTTGACACTGGGTTGGGATTGACTCCACCCCCATACCCATGGCAGAGTTTTGATTAGGCTAAGCAAAATAAGGGAATGTCACTCCTTGTCACTGTGACTGGATCCAGGATGGGCTCTCAGGCCTATGTCATCTAGGGTCTGGCTACCTCTAATCATGCTGATGGGGTAAGGGGTGCCCAATTGGAGCACAGCCCAGGACTATGGCCACTGTTTCAGGGATGACAGGAAAGAATGCACAGAACTCAAGAGTTCTCATTTTTACTCTTAAGTTTCTAAAGTTTAGGACAGTGTATTATGAGGAAAGAAAAAAAAGATACAGAAAACTGGGCAACATCAGACAACACTATATAGTTGTGCAGGTTGTACACTGTGCAATCCCAGAGAGTAAATTTACATTGGCCATGATATACACAATCATATGTGACAGGGCTCATTGTAGTACCTACCAGGTGATACCTCCCAAGACCATATAAGTCTCCCACCGGCTGAGTGGTAAAGAGAACTGGGAGGAAAGAATAGAAAGAAGAATCTTAATCCTTCTCCCCCTACAGCAGCCTGGGACCAGAGAAGCACTACCACTCACCCCAGGGCAGTCCAGGGACTCTGAGAGCAAAGGGACACCTACAAATGATGAAGTAAGAATTTAATTGAAAGTGTTTTTTTTCCTTCTGTGGTGGAACTTGAACTTGATGGTACATCCTGAGTTAGAAGGAATATAGTCTGTAAAGCCAGGAGAGTAGGTGAGTTCACCAGACGAATGAGTATAGAAAAGGGAAGCAAGAACTGAGGCCCAGGGCCCTGTGGCTTTGGCAGATCCGGGGGTGAAAGGAGCCAGCAGAGAAGGGATGGTGAGAGACGATGAAGGGACAGGGACCAGAGAGGCAGGAGGGAAGCCAGGAGAATACAGTGCCTGGAGAATTAAGCACCTTCTTCACTTGCCAAGTGAAGAAGGTGCTTAAAGAGGAGAGAAAGAACACCTGTGTAAGCATAGCTACAAGGTCACAGAGGTGGCGGATGGAGAGCATCATGGATTTGGTGAGGGAGGTCCATGTTGGGGGGAGCTGGGGAAGGTCTAAAGAGACAGGAGAGAAAAGGGGGAGAGAAGGGGAAGACAGTGAGGAGAGACATCACTTTTCTGGAAATAGCTACAACTGGAGAAAGACATGGGGTCCAGAGTAATAGCCTTTTTTGTTAAGAAAAAAAACAACTTGCCAGGATGCTTCCTGATAGAAATAACTTAATTACAGAGGGAGATACTGATGACACTAGAGAGGACCGGAGGGAATTCGGTGGAATTGGGAGGAGGGACCAGACCTACTGCTCATGGGGAGGGCTTGGCCCTGGTGTGGGGGAGCCCACCACAGCACGGACATCAACCAGGCAAGGAGGGGTCACCCTGTACATGTTCTATATGCTCTCGTATGTTTCATCACTTGTAGGGTAAAAAAAAAAAGTGACACCAATTTTTAAATTTAATGACAAGTAATAGAGAATTACAGTCTTTCTACTAAAAACCTTAAATAATTACAGATCAAAGTAAAAGTCCGCTTGCATGAGAAGTGGCATTTTTCACGAAGGTAAAGAGGATGGCTGAGAGGGATGGAGGAGGCAGGATTGAGGGAAGAGGAGAAAATGGGGAGGGAAAAAACTAGAGAAAAATGTTCACAGTGGAACAAGTTGGACGGTCGATGAAGCCTAGCTTCCTCAAGAGGAGGTCGGGGTGAAAATACCAGTGAAACGGCATGTGCCTGGCTGGGAGGCTGGATCCCATGGATTGACTCCATGGGGATGAGCCTCTCTCTGCACCGAGCTGGGGGAGGCCGGCTGTGCTGGGGGCTGGGCACAGGGCTTCTTGGTCTCTGCTGGGATAAGACTTGGAATGAGAGATACCACTCTGCTCCAAAATACACCCCAGCGTGTGTGCACGCGCACACACACACACACACACACACACGCTCTCAAGATCCATCCAAGTTGTGTGTATCAATATTTATTCCTTTGTTTATTTATAAGTGCTATTCCATTATATGGATCTACCATAGCTTATTTATCCTTTCACCTATCGAGGGACGTATTTGGCTACGACAAACAAAGCTGCTATGAACATTTGCATACAGGTT